GGCCTGGTGCTGTCCAGCTCTTCATACTTGAGACCCGCTCTTGAATGTCTGCCATTGTGATGATTACTGGGTCTTGTGCAGGGAGGTTGCTGTGGTCTGCTCTTAGGTCCACCAGCCACTGGGCATTGCTGTTGTGCGATGCCTCCTCCTCCCATATGCTCTTCCGGAACTGTTCAGTCTCCAGCCTTGGTGGGTCTGCTCTCATGTTATTACCCTGCCACTGAGAGTACACCTTGGATGGCTCAGTGGAGAACATTCGGTTTATTCTCCTGGCTTCAACTTCTCTGGTATATCTCTTCAGCCAGGTGGCCAGGGCTGTGAGCCTTTGCTTGGCAGTCTCTAAGGGCTCAGGTATGGACAGTGAGTTGTACTTCTTAGGTACCCCTTTTTTCATCACACCTTTCTGCAATTCCGATAGCTGGCTAACTTCTCTCCTTGCTGCCTTGATCTTGGTCTCCAATCTCCTTCTCCATGGAGGATACTGCTCCTTATGGCCTTTGTTGAACTTATAGCCAAGCATCTCAAGGATCACGGTTGCTGTGGTGTATATCAGCTTGTTGGTCTCAGTGATGGTCATAGTAGGGCTTGTTCTTAGTGCTGCATTCACATCCTCTAGTAGACTTTCAGAAGACACTTCACTTAGTCTTGGTAACCAACCACGGGAGTTCAAGGTGTCCATCTTGCTCATGATCTTCAATCTCAGGTCAGCTGCTCTTGAATCAAGCTCATCATGTCATGTACTGTATTATCCCCCCAAATGCGGTTGAATAGAAGTATAAATAAGCATAAAATGGAAATACTTCAAGTAAACACTTTTTTAAAGATAACTCAAAACTATACTGAAATACAGTACTTAAATGTGCTTAGTTACTCTCCACTAGATTGAGGGCGTTAGTACTCACCTAGTACGAGACAGTGAATTGAATTGAAAGTCTCTCAAAATCTCTGATGTGATTTTTCTTAACAGACTAAATGTGATACTAGAAATACAGCAAGTCTACAGGTGTGTGTTTCTTTCTCAGGTGTCTGTTCCCCTCTCATCTGAAGACCATGAGATTCTGTCATATATCACTCTGATTGGCTGTAGTCTTTCTCTCTTTGCCCTGGTCATTGCTGTTCTGATGTTCATCACAAATAAGTAAGTTATTTTTCCTTGGTGAATGATTCTACTCACCTTTCATTAACCTGTATCTTCCCTCACCTTCAGTCTACCCTTCCCTCGCTCATATTTTCAGTTACAGCAGCATCCTTCTGTACTTGCTGCCATCACTTCTTGAGTTCTTCAGCTCGCTTCTTCCTTCCATGTTTGACTTTTTCTTGCTTCCTTTTCTTGTCAATTTATTTGTCTCATTTTTTTTCATTTTTAGCTACTTTAAAGTTCACTGCACTCTTCCATCCTTCTTCTTTTCTTTCATCCTCCACCTAATTTCATTTCCACCATGCATAATTTAGCACTCACCACAGATCAATTCTCCTCTGTCTAACAGAAAAGCCAGAACAGATGTCTCTATGAAGGTCCACATCAACCTTGCCATTGCCCTGATCCTTCTCAACGCACACTTCCTCCCTAATCAAACTGTGGCAGCACTCCCCTCCAATGGGCTTTGCCTTTACATGGCGCTTTCTCTGCACTACTCACTACTGGCCACTTTCAGCTGGATGGCATTGGAGGGGTTCCACCTTTACCTTCTCTTAGTCAGAGTCTTCAATATCTATGTCAGGAGATATCTGCTCAAACTCAGTGTGGTGGGATGGGGTGAGTAGAGTCACCAAGGCGTGGGACCTACGAGTTGCCATTATCAGTCGGCAAATACTGAGTACCTGTACCCTTAAATGAAAGGATCAGTGTCTTGTTTAAGCCTTGTGCTTTCTGCAGGTGTTCCTGCAGTCATTGTGTCCCTGGTGGTCATTATAAAAAGAGACTCATATGGTCGTGTTCCTGTAGACTCGTCCAACTCCAGCAACACTACAATGTAAGGGAGAAGTGGAATCATATTTGCATGTACAATCTAGATTAATAATTAACTTATAAAGTGTTTTGCATGTGGATTAGAGTTTCTGTGTATTTTGAATGGCATTCACAGTAACTGCAATTATTACAAGAACAAATATGTATTCCAGTTCATGGGCAGCAAACCCCTTGTTGTCCAGCATCTGTTTTACTCTATCCCTAAACTATCCCTAAATCCCTATTTAGTTCTAAGGTTTCCTTTACTACATACAGCTGAATCTTTAGTCGCCTGAATTTACATTTTTATTACAGTGTTCAATTGTTCAGTAAATGAAATTAAACTATTGTTCATACTCTGTTTCTTTATAGATGCTACATGGCCAACGACACAGTGAAGATGGTAACTGTGATGGGAGTGTTTGGCTTAGTGTTCATCTTTAATGTGACCATGTTAGGGGTGACCATCGCACGTCTTATGAGTCTCCACCGTAGCAAAAAGGTACAAAAGGTTCTTCCTTACAAAGGTATTGGTATATATAGTAGACAGGTAGGAATAGGTTTATATACTGAGCCTTATAATGAAAATAAATTAAATGTTAAACTATATCACTATACACTTATGTCCTCAGTAGAAACTAATAGGCTTGGAGCTGAGTGCCACATACACAAGGAAAGAAGGAAACTATTGATAAACATGACTAACACATTATTTTGCTTTTTTATCATAAGATTTATAGACTATAAGAAAAATAGTCAAGTGTATTACTATTTCTCTTCATAATTTTTCTCTGGTGTTTAAAGCATACATTTTCTGTTGAAAGAATGCCTAGTAAATTTGTTTAATATGTGGCTCACACAGTTGGTATAAGTAAACTGTGCCTCTCATGGATGCTTTAATATTTTATGTGTGGCTTCAGAAAGCACAATAAAAAATTATTTGACGAAGATAACTGTGCTTCCACTCAGGAGGCATTTTCTGGACTAGGGTACAGACTTCAACAAACAGTTTGGGTGTTCACTCTACCAGACTCGAGGTCTTCAACCAATAGTTACTGACTGTCTGTGACCTATTAATGTGTTGTATTACAATACATTTGACACATCAGGTTAGGCAGAGTGACTGTTACAGAGCCAAGCGAGACGCCTGTACCCTCCTGGGAGTCACCATTCTACTTGGCATCACCTGGGGCCTGATCTTCTTCTCATATGGCAACCTGCCCGCTCCTGGCCTTTACCTCTTCTGTATTCTGAACTCACTGCAAGGTTGGTACAACCTTTGTCACATGTCCAGCTCTTTTATGTGGTGATGTCATTCAAAATATGACAGAAAAGGTTATATGAGACAACTTCAACATGGTTACTCCCAACACTGCATGTCATACTGTAGTCTCTCCCCACATCTCTACAGGTCTCTGTAATTACTGTCCAATTAAAGGCAAAATGCCAAAAAATCTCATATACTATTAAAAATGCTTAATATAAATGAGTGGTTGTATGTTGCTGGTGTAGATCGAAAATTAAACCTATTTTTTCAGTTTTTACATAGGTACATGTTTCAAGCAGGAAATGCTTTCTCCCTGTCAGATCGTAGAGGCCAACTAGAGAGTCTTCCACTGTGATTGTGTAATGGAAACACAAATTTGGTTATCTACGCATGAATAGCTTCCAGCGTAGTAAAATAAATGGCCAAAGTCTCTTGAGGACATTTGTTCATATTGCAAACTGTCATGACTACTCAGATATCAGAAGAAATGACACTTACATTGTCACGAATGAATGGTATTAAAATACATGGTTTTACTTGCAGTGGCTGCAACAATTTGACTCTGTGTCTATTTGTATAATGTAAACAGTTATGAGTGGCATTTGCATGATCATAGCCTTCTGTACTCTTTCTAACACTTCAATTTCTCTTTCTCTCACGCAGGTTTCTTCATCTTCCTGTGGTTTGTGATGTCTTTAAGAAAGAATGGAAACTCAACTGCTAAGGCAAGCGGTGAAACACCTAGCACCAGCAGTCAAGTCAAGTCAAGTCAAATTTCATCTGTATAGCCTTAATCAGAAATTTGCCTAAAGGAGTTTTACATATAGCATACAATTCCCTCGGTTCTTAGACCATCAAATCAAGACTCCCCGAAATATTTAATGGACATAAAAGAATAGAAGAAACCTTAGGAAGAGCAACAGAGCAGGGATCGCTCTTCCAGAATGGACAGACATACAATAGATGCAATGTCAACAGCAAAGCCTATGTAGAACTACTGTAGTAACACACCAAGACACTTTTTGTGTATGTGTATGCATGTGTGCGTGGTGGTGGTGGGGGTTGGGATCCTTATTACTGAAATACAGTTTGATGTTATTATTTCTACTTTAGATCATGATGTTTTCATGTATAACAATGTAGCAGAGAAGCAAATATCATGCTAACTATTGTAAGGTAATCTAATATTCAATGTAAAACATTTTAGCAGCTCACAGCATTAGTGCTATTTTAAAAACTTTGTTGTTAATATAACTGGTGTGCTTAGAAAGACTTTGCAGTGATGGGTTCTATCCATCCATCTATCCACTGGGCAAAAGGCAGGAAAGCACAATCGCATCAATGGGAAATTTTTTTACTTCAGCCATTCTGTTCACAACTCTGAAAATAAACCCCTTACAGAAAACTGAGAACCAAGAACAAACTAGCTGTGATTGTCACACCTCAACTGTGCCATATTGAACTTTTTGCTACAAAGAACATGTATGATAGCATTGAAAGGATATCATTCATTTCCTGTCTCTCCCTGTAAGGTACACCATTGAAAGGAATACTCTCAGGAAATCAACTAAGTAGAAAGAAGAAACAGCTCTAATTATCTATGTCATACAATATGTATGGTTATGCACTGTGACCCTAGTTCTTTCAAATGTGTTTTCAAAGAGAACAGGGCAGTGAGGCAATGGCAAAGTGACTGTTAAGGGGGAGAGAGTGCATCAGACATGTATTCTGGCAATGGTACATGTGCAAATGCATTCACTCCTACTGGATTGTTAGGGGGTGAAAAACTACGGTAAATGGTGCAGATTGTTTTTCTGCCCCTGTCTAGATCTGATAGGTTTTAACTGCAACTTTGAGTTCTGTAAAAGAGCATATATTCTCTGAAAATTCTGCGGTCTACACCTACAGTACTCTGCAGTAGAACATGTAAAATGGTAGTGGTAAATGGTCTTATACTTGTATAGCGTTTTCCTACACTTTACAGCACACTCAAAGCACTTTCACATTATTTGGCCATTCACCCATTTGCACTCCCAAACGCTGACACATTCACACACTGGTGTTATCACCGGGAGCAACTGGGGGTTCAGTGTCTTGCTCAAGGACACTTCGACATGTTAACTGGACAAGCTGGGAATCGAACCACTAATCCTCCGGTTAGGAAATGACCCGCTCTACCTCCTGAGCCTCAGCCGCCCCATGTCTATATACATTTAGTATGTATTAAACTTCATGTATTTTTCACAGTTGCCTGTGTGTATGTGTGTACTGTATCTGCCTACATGATTTTAATGCAGCTGGGAACTTTAGTGGTTTTCCACATCATGGCGTTATTGTATATAACATCAATTTGTGTTAGTTAGTCAGACATGGTTCACTGTAGCAGTGGAGTTTAGCCTGTAATGTCAGTTTGCGACATATAAAAATTAAACAAACTCGCCTGCAGTCATTTTGTTGCCCTAATATTTGCATAAAACAAATGCCTTTAACTGACCAAACACAGGCACTACTGTATTTTTTTCTAAGTTCCCGGTCATGAGATAAACCAAACAGCACAGTTCACTGGTGTTTGTCTTCCTAATCCTGTTCACTTCAGAGGTAAGAAGAGGACTACTATGTCTGCTGAGTATTGACTTGTATTTTTTTTGTTTGTTTCTACTATTGTTGGGGTGTATGTAGGGAACATGGTGATACTGTACAATTAGTGTAAAGATGATGTAACACTAATTTTGATGAATTTGATCTAACTAGCAAAATAACATTTTTCCTTTAAGCAGAGGGTAATCTTTTTTCTCTTTGATCTGCTTTATGTATTTATATCACAGCTGTAAACTGGAGAATACATAAGTTAATGTTTGTGAGTATTTGATTTCACTTTCAAAATATGCTGCCCACCCACTTTAATAGTCACACCTGTACACCTTGTATGTAATTCAGTGCACCACTTCTGCCTTAACATCAGTGATTATGAAGCTCAAAATGTTTTGGTTTTTGGTGAAATTGTGATAAAAGTATAAATTCAATGATATGTTTATTATTGAGGTCAAAGTTAAAGGTGGTGTTGTACTGGAATACATTATATTCAGAGGTGTTCCTAATATTCTGGCCCTCTCATGCATGTAGCTGGGGAGGACAAAAATATAGAGACAAAGTAGCTGGGCAGTGTACTTGGCCAGGTTAAAGAGCAGAATTAGAGTTTCATTGCTTTCAGTGGTGGAAACCTGTTGTGTTTTAGTTCTTTTGTCTGACTTTGCATAAGTGATTTTATTTGAATGTAAATTACAGAGAGTATATATGTACTAAAATGTAGCTTTCTTCCATCAGTCACACATTCAGAGTTAATACAATGGTTCCTTTGCTGCTGTTATTGCTACTGCCCAAATCATTGGCTGACAAAGGTAAGAATGTGAGTTAGTTTAGTTAGGTTTGTCTTACCAAAGGAAAAAAAATGAATGTATTCAATAGGATTTCATATATTTATTTGCAATTTTACCTTTTTTTTTACTTGTCACAAACCAAAAGGAATGCTGTGCTGGAAAATAAAAATGTTAACTGTTATCAGTAAACAAAAGTTACATATGACATAGACAAAGTCAAAACTGCAGTAACAACAGCACACAGTGGGCAGAACTGGCTGAGAGCAGGTTCTGTAAAGTTCACATAAAGGGAACCTGCCCAAACGTGACAAGCCAAGTAACACTTATGTTCACATTACAACAGAGAAAGGGATTTTACGCACGCCTCGCCATTGTTGTGTATGTGGTGTGCAGGTTCTGCACGGACGTCCGCGGTGCACAGCGTGGAGCGATTTCAGACGCACCCAGTGATTGGCTGTGTGCACAGAGGTCAGCAAAACCCGAATCAAAGGTCAACAAATTTGAACCTTCAGTGCAGCTCCGCTCCCTGCTGTGCACCGCAGAACCTGCACAGCACACCACATACACAACAATGGCGAGGTGGCGCAAAAGCCATTTTTGTGAACATACCTTAAACGTCCATCATGGGTTCTGTGTTTGTTCCCACTGCCCTCCGCCCGCTTTGGAGGTGTGTTCCTGGAGCCAAATTTCAACACCTCTCAGGAGGTAGCGCTAATAATATGGAGATAAAATACTATCACAAGTGATTTGTGTGTGTGTGTGTCATGCTGTTCACAAATGCGTGCTGTACAAACTGCACATAAAACACATTTTACAAATGCTTAAAATCGATTTTTTTTGTGTGCAGTTCTTTAGAAAGTACACATTGTTACCTACGCATGCGTGGATCGTCTAACACGCACGAATCACCTTCCGCGAACACACACGGATTTTTGAGAGTTTCTCCGCACTCTTAAAAGTCCACGATCCACGTATGTACGGTGCGTTTAAGGACACGTAGAAAACTCGGACATCAGAGTTTCCAAACCTGTTTTCAAAACAAAAGCATTTACACAACGCTATTCCAAATGGACATTACATAAAATAAACAAAAATATCTAATACATAATACGTTTTAACAGAGAACATTCCAGATGCCTGCAGTTTGTGGTGCATGTTCTAAATGTTTATATATTTAGAATTTAGAAGTTATGAAGCTAAAGTTAATGTTCCGCCCTGCGGAGTTTATAGTTTTTCCAGTAGGGCATATTTTAGTGATGCACATATTCCTCCCGACGGAGTTTGTTGTTGTTTTTCAGTGGGACATGTTTTAGTGATACACACCGCTAGTAAGTTTAGGGGCCGTCAGGGCCAGCAAGGCCTTCTCTGCTGGCCTAAACACTATTAGAAGCACTGACCTACATTTACAACCAAAATTCTAATATTTGTTCCATGAAATTGTATTAATTTATGGCCGAGAATCTGATGTCCGAGGTTTCTACGTGTCCTTAAACGCACCGTGCATTCGTGGATCGTGGACTTTTGAGAGTGCGGAAAAACACTCTCAAAAATCCGTGTGTGCGCGGAAGGTGATTCGTGTGTGTTAGACGATCCACGCATGCGTAGGTAACAATGTGTACGTACTTTCTAAAGAACCACACAAAAAATCGATTTTAAGCATTTGTAAAATGTGTTTTACGTGCAGTTTGTACAGCATGCATCTGTGAACCTCATGACACACACACACAAATCGCTTGTTACAGACAAAACGTTAAACACGCATTTGTAACATTTTTGATAGTATTTTATCTCCTTAGGATAAAATCAAGTTCCGAGAACACAAGGGTGGAGGGGGTGTTTTCGCCAGAGCAGTCGCTTAGCAGTACTTTACACTTTTAACCCACTACATCTCAGAAGTACCTATTGTGCTTTTTACTCCACTACATTTATGTGACAGCTGGAGATACTACCTGCTTTTCTGACTTAGACAATAACACAAAATATAATCTACAAATAAATCATGACAAGCTGTTATACAGTAGGGTAAGACTTTGTAAATCCCTAAGATAAATTCACAAATTACTTAGCAGGATGTAAAATTTGTTTCACCTTTAACACTTGCTACATTAAAATTATGTTCAATGAATGTATTGATAATCATAATCCATTAATATAGTATGCATTTTTCTGAAAATGAGTCAGTCTTCATTGGTATGTTTACATTTGGTACTTTAACAATATTTTTCTTATACTTTTTACTTAAGTAATATTTTCAATGCAAGACTTTTACTTCGCTGTATAGAAGACAGCTGTCAGTGTCTAAATTTTGTTATAACAGTCTGATAAGTTTAGCTGTGAACTAAGTGTTCTCATAAAGAATGTTTTACCTTTATTAAAGTCATTTATCTTGTTACATAATTCATATCATGGGCTCAAGTCAATAACAATCTGAAAATGTTTAAATACAGTATTACAGTGCTTGGAATTCAAATTTTTCTGTAAAATGGAACATATCCTTTTATGGCATTGTGACTGGAGATATGTAAAATACAGTGAGTTCTATTTGTTTTTCCTCTTTTGTTTCTGTGTTCTCAGTTTGTTTCAACATTTCAAATAATGGCATTATTACAACCACAAACACGACGAATGCTAGCATCCTGGATATGCCAAGTCATAATGTGGAGTGCAAAGTCAGGGAACATCCATGCGTCTTTCAGTGCATTGTCATCAACAGGACACAGTTCTATGACTCATATACATGCTTGGAGGCTAATGTGACAAAAACCGACATGATTTTAGAATATAAAATACCAAAATGTAAGTATACACTGTCTTTCAAGTAGACAGACTACTCTGTTCATACAGGTCTGTCCCCTACAGTATGAAGCACATACTGTTTAGCATAGGACAGAAAGCATTCAGAAGTGCAGAAGCTGATTCATTTGCATCTCCAACTGCCCTGTACCCTCAAACAGGGCAATTATATGTCTACATTAATCTGACTCCTCTCTCACTTTTCAGACGGCACTTGCACCATCCATTTATGCAATGACACTGTCATCCATCTGCTAATTAATTCTCTGTCCAGTGACAGCTCTGACCAGAGCGCAATGAAACAACTCTTCTACATAAGAGATTCATGTGTGGAGCTCTTCAGCAGCCATCGTAAAATCATGATGGAATTTCTAAAGTAAGTGTCTGTCCTGCTGCAGATATCTTTCCTTGTGCTGCTGAGCAGACAAATTTTCAGTCATTCATATTGTTTTTCTGTAGTACTGTTGGTTTTTAGCCATAGGAGCTGCATGGCTCTGTCAATGACACTGTCAGCCTGACAGTCTGCTGTGGTCCAGACTGAAATGTCTCAAAAACTACTGGATGATTTGGTCCAGATATTCATAATAATAATAATACTTTATTTGTATATCACTTTATAACTCGGTAGGAGCCCCAAGCACTTCACAGAACAGCAGATAAAATATATGACCACCAACATACAAAATAAGAGCAAAACAAGAGAAACTAAAAACACAAAAAAGAAAGTATAAATCGAAAGGTAATGATTAGGCTTCCATATCCAATATAAATATAAAACAGCAAGCTAAAAGACTGAAGCAAATTAACCACAGAAAGCCTGTCTAAAAAGATAAGTTTTAGTTTGGACTTACAAAACGATAACTCAGTTATGGATTGTAACTCCAGCGGTAGAGAGTTCCACAGCCTGGGGCCATAAACGGCAAACGCACGATCGCCCCATTTTTTTGTATTTTGTTCGCGGGACGACCAGGGACACCTGTTCTGAGGAACACAAAGCCCAAAGCGGAATCCGAATGGACAGCAGATCAGACAGATATAATGGAGGGAGGCCGTTAATAGATTTGAATGCAAGTAATAACACCTTAAAATCAATTCTGGACTTCACTGGCAGCCAGCGCAGCGAGTAAAGAACAGGAGTGCTGTGGGAATACTTGGGGGTGTTTGAGAGTAAACGAGCAGCAGCATTATTCCATACCAGCTGTAGCTTCCGGAGAAGAGATTGGTTAATTCCGATATAAAGGGCATTACAATAATCGAGTCGCGAAGAAATAAAAGCATGATTGGCTTTTTCTAAATCGACATGTGAAAGAAAGGGCTTGACTGTAGTGAAAAGCCTCAGATGAAAGAAGCTGATTTTGACCACAGATCTGACATGTTTGTCGAATTTAAGGCCGCTGTCGAACAACACTCCTAAGTTTTTGACAGTACCCATAAGTGATGGGACCGAGGCCCCTAGATGAGGTACAATAGCGGAAGAATCGGGGCTAAAAACAATGTATTCCATCTTACTTTCATTTAGATGAAGAAAGTTCTGGGATAGCCAATGTTTAACATCACCAAAGTAATTATGCAAAGGGGTTAGAGCATTCGAATTCGAATTGAATTTTGAATTGAAGCTGAAAGTCTTGACTTCACTCACATCTTGAGTGTTTAATTTCAAATTCAATGTGGTGGTGTACAGAGGCCAAAGGCCAAAAAACCTACAATTGTTCCAATATTTGTGAATCTGACAGTATATGTATTCCAAAGTTTATCTGAGATTAGTCTTTATTAGTCAAATTGAGTGATATATGCTGCTTCCAAAGTTACAATCACTGTGATACAGAATTTGTTCTTTTTCTTATTATCCCTCCACCTCTGTTCAGGACAGAAACAGTCTGACAAAACACTGTAATTCATTTCATTGTCTACTGTAACTCAGAATGTTGGAGCCTTATATTAGCTTCAGATCATCTTTGAAATCAACATTATGTTTGCACAGAATGGAGGCTGTGGATTTTGTCCCCAATTACCTTTATTGGAAGCATGTTTGAAAGGAGTCTTAATGACCTGTATGAAGAGGAGAAAGAATTTTAGCAAGCAGGAACATTTTCACTGTCTGTCCATATGGGCACCTAGTTATTGTTTTAAGGCTCGAAAGTCCCTACGTATATTTTCACACAGCTAATTGTATTGTAGCTTATGTAATAACCATCATATACAGCTTTAAACATCATTACATACAAGGTTTAAAACCATATTTAAACAATAATAATGAGAGTAATAACTAAGCTTACTCAATAAAAAAAAAGAGTTTAACCTCTTTAGAAATTTTATATAGTTTTTAAAAGAGTTGCAGCATAGCAGCAAGCAAAAAGACAAAATGTCAAAATCATCAGCAATCTTTGTTTGATTAGCTTACAACTTAATAAATCAACAACTACTATTTCTAATCATCAATATAAGCTATTATACTGATTGAAATCATTATAGATGAGCTCTCAATCACTGAATAAAAGTCAGTTTCTCACTGATCACCAGTCCTCAGTTGGATCGAGCTGGTAGTTGTTGAAAATCATTATTAACTTGTAACTGTTGTGTACCTTTTACTGCCAAGATTCAGTACACTGCCTGTAACTGGCCTCCATTCACTGTAATTCTGCATTATCTACTTGTCTTTTCTCAAAAACAAATCATTCTATTGGCTGATAAAAATGCAAGAATCTGACAAGAATCTTTTGTTGGGATGTGTCTGCTAACTTCCCTTATTCACAGAAAAGTTCCTCCTTTTCTTAACTGCAGTTTTGCTTTTGGTGCGCTGAAGTCTGGTTCATGGGCCTGCTTTGGCTTTCTTCTTGGTATAATTTATGATCGCTGTTAGAAATTAACCCGATTCTTTTGTTGGAAGCACGAGAAGTGACGACAGGAGAGGACTGTTTAAAATCAACAGAAAGTTTACTGAATGTCTGATCACAGGTAGGCCTTACAGTGCTGGGGTCAGAGGGATAGAGCTCTCGCAGGAGTTCCATCCACTGACCCCAAATTAAGGTCTTACAATACATTTTATCTTCTTGGGCTGCTCCGCCCTGGACAGAGCTGCAACCTTCAATAGTTTGTGATCCTATTGGTCATTTGGTGTGAGCCGGAGCTCACACTTCCATGTTGAAATATGGTAAATCTACTGTAGGTATGTGTGTGTGTGTCTCAGGTTGTAGCCCCCGGCCTCTGCAGGACATCCCAAGACAAAGCAAAGCTTGGGATATGCTAAGTGGGTCAAGGTGTGAGTGTAAAACAGGCCTTTGCTAAAATGTAAATAGGCTGACTGGTCACAAGGAGATGCAGACATCCTCCCTCAACAGAAGTTACAGTATTCAAAGTGGGCACATTCTACTTGATTCTCATCAATACAATTGTAAGATATATAAGCAAGGAAAATAAATGTATTAAGAATAGCCAAAGCTCAGTAGTTCTGGACAATCATCAATACAGCTGTAATATGTATAATCAAGGAAAATAAAGTTATGAAAAGTAACTAAAGGGAACTAAAGGTATGAGAAGTAACTAAAGCTTATAAAGTAACTAGAGTCTATAAGACTCAAATCTAATTTATTCATTCTCATCAACTGTTCTCCTACTTTTTGTTTTGCTTTTTTCTTTGTTCCCATCCTCATCCTTATCCTCAAAATCTAAAAGTTGTTCAGAAAGCAGAAGACAAATGCATCAGTTAAATTAAATGCATATGCTGGACGGTGATGGTATAAAGCCCTGTAGGCAAATATCTATAATATAAGGATACATGGGCATCTTTGATCCACAAAAGTAAACAACAATTTCACACTGCACAGCTTTTACTCCTGCTGTCAGAAATCAGCAGAGAAAAGCATGATAAATTTAGGAGTGGTAGTGGGACTACTTTGTGGTTTAGAATATTTTATAATAATTAGAAAACTGTGTTCTCATAATGTAACCCCTCACTTCCCTCACTAGCATCTTAGCTCCTCCCAGCACAAAAGTACTAGGTAAACGGTTTAAAACAGAAGTGCTTGATGTATATTGACCCTTGCTCCAATACTGAGATCTATTGCCAAGCCAATGCCAGAACTGATGATGATGAAGTAACAAACAAAATTTTAATATGTGCATTGTTGAAATCGCAGAAGAGGCAGTAGGTAATAAAACAAGTTATACAGTAAATGTTCTAACAATATATAGGCTACTTCATTTGTGAAAGACCACAGTGTGACTCTGATGTCCTTTTCAGGTTCAGGATGATATTCTAGACACAATATTAACAATATATGCACAGTAATACAGTCACAGGCATAAAGACAGATTAGAGTAATATTAATTTAGATTTTAAAAATCTGTGAATTCCACAAATTCTCACATCACTTTGCACAACTGATTCTTGCATGAGGCCCATTGTCTTTCTGCAGGGTGGAAAGAAGGATGATCCATAGCATAATGAACACATCCCAGTTTAAGAATGGAATCTCCACAAACTACAACCTGAAGTTCTTGTCTCTGAATGTGTTCAACATCAGTGAGACTCACTTCAGCTGTGCAGGAAACAAATCCAGAATTCCAATGAAAGCTCCACAGGTACATAACTTGTGATCAGGCGGTGCTAATTCTGAAAGCAGAACAGTTAATATGGCAATGTCGTTATTATGTTACAGTTAGCTGAGTTAGCTTGTTTTAAGCCTTGGGTCCTGGTATGTTAGGATTAACATTGATGATTTGGGGGTTTTTGAGTGCAACAGTCCAAGCTTGATCACCATCTTCTTATATCTGCTGTTAGCTGCTGCCTCAGAATGAATCATTTGTCCCTGAGGTTTGGCTGCCTGTGAATGCCCTGTGCACCATCCCAAACGAGAAGAAGATTATTGGTTTGGTCAGCTACATGTGGCACAGCCAGTTCCAAGTATATTTCCTTTGTCCTATTAACTTTACATCATCCATCCTGACACTCTCATGTTTCAATCTACAATTTACATTTACAGTTTGCTCATTGTCATAAACTTTGCAGATTCTTTTGTTATTATGGGTTTGACAATAAATTGTGATTCTATAACTGCTCTGTGTTTCCTTCCATGTCTATACTAAACTTTCGTAGTTTGACCAGGAAGAAATCTCATCAATGGTTCTCAGGATAGAATTACTGGAGGGACACCTTCTTCATAATCTGAAAACCCCAATCAAGATGATTTTTGGAGTTGATGCACACAACGATATGGATGTAAGTCTGTTTGTAAATTCATGCTTTAATTTAATTCAGTGCTGATCTGTTTGATTACTATGCCATTTCTAGCCTACAGCCACAAACCAGAAGGTGCCATCCAAATTTAAGGTGCCATATATTAATTTGTGGCTGTTATGATTTCCCCACTGAGGATATATTGTCCTTTTTGTGGAATAATCACACTGAATTGTTGTAATTCATCACAAAATTGTCAGATCGTGGCACTGAAAATAAAAATGAAAAGAAGTGACTTCATGGGATTTGATTATAGTATTATGTCAACTTTTTAAACTTTGTTAAAACTTAGTTTTATTCTCCTCTTTGACTGGGTGGATATTGTTAACTTCAAGGTGGCTCTATATTTTTGTTTTTTTACAGAATGACTCATGGTTACAGTGTCACTATTTTGATGAACAAGGTATGTCAAAATCAAGAGCAAAGTGCTGAAATGCTATTTTAGTTCCGATTACTACAAATTGGAGAAAAATTATCAGTATGATTCACATTGGTTACAAAAAATCTATAAGGTTGTGATCTGTGCAATGAAAAAAGAGTTTTAATGAAAACTGTTGTAGTAACAGAAGGTGGTCTATGCCGTTTATTCTGTCATTCTTGCAGGCCATAGAAATAGGCCTACAGTAAGTTGTGCTTATATGTTCACAGAGGGGCTCTGGAAAACAGATGGATGTGAGACTTCCAAAAGAACCATCTATAACAAAACTGACATTGTTTGCAGTTGCAACCATGCAACACCCTTTGCTGTGCTGTTGGTAAGCACGCACCCTTAATTTATAATCATCATCAATAAATAAATCATTGAAGTCAAATTTTAATTTCTATAGCACATATCTTTGATCACTGATGACTTCACTCTCAAATTCCAGGCTGTTAACCAATATCCCATCTTTCTGGCAGGTAAGACAACCAATTGCAGAAGCCCAGTGGAAAATACTGTCATACATCAGTTACACAGGCTGCAGCCTGTCTGCCTTCTTCACTGCTTTGTCCATTGTGATGTACATCTTCAGTCGGTAAGCATATAGCACACGTATTTTGCATGATGGGCAGCCAGCTCGTGGATAGCTGCTGTCCATGAGACATCTTACAAGAGAAAATACTGAAATAGCTCCAGCATCAAGAGGAACAAGAAGTTCTTTAGCAGATTATATAGCCACAACTGAACTTTGAGATGTTGGCATTCTAAGGATTTAAGCTGCTAATCAGAAGCTACAATTTACAACCAACTGTCTAATGGCAACTGGTGGGTAGTTTGATTGCTGGCACTCTAATGAAACCACACCACACTCACACAGTCCTAATGATGCAGATTCAAGTTTCTGAGAATTTAAGTCTTAATAAATAATAACAGAAGACGAGGATGAGTTATTTTTTACTTCAGTGTTTTTAGTCATGAATGTTTAATGGTATAGAGAAATACTCTGTACAGTTTTCTTGTAAACAAAGTTATGATTCCACTAAGTGCTATTCACTGAAACAACATAATCTTGTCTAACTGATGTGCTGGATGCATCTACTTACCGTTTCTGTGAACATGTCATGCTGTATCTCTCCATGACTCTTCATGATTTTTTTCTTTGCCTCAGAAAACACAAAATGGATTACTCCATTTCTGTTCATGTGTCTCTGAGCATGGCCTTGTTTCTGCTC